CAGCCACAGGCGGCGTTTGCTGCTGCTGCAGCTGCTGCTGTTGCTGCTGCAGCGCCGCGCCCACGCGAGCCCGGCGAAGCAAATTCAATTGTCCACAAACAAGAGGCCCCCAGCTTGCGGGCCCAAACTCCAAACCCTAAACCCTAGCCCCCAAACCCCAAGCCCTAAACCCTAAACCCTAAACCCTAAACCCTAGACCTTCTCCGCCTGCAGGGGCGGCGGGTTGTCCGCGAGGTCCACTCTGAGGGTTTTGCCGTAAAGGGTTTGGCCCTGTAGAGCCATGTAGGCTTTTGCTGCTGCTTCTTCATCGGCAAAAACCACAAGAGCTTCTCCTCTTTTTTCTCTCTTTGCAATTACTTCTAAAACCTCGCCAAAGGGTTTACAAAGTTCAAAGAGATCATACCTCAGTTGATCCAGAATGACGGAGGGGTCCAGGTTGCTGATTCGCAGCGTCCTCGTGCTGCTGCTGCTGCTGCTGCTGCTGCTGCTGCCTGCAGCAGCAGCGGCGCCCGCGCAGACCCCGCCCGGCATTTTTCGAGGCAAAAAGGACAAGTTCGAATCAAATTTGAAAAAGAGAATGTTTTAATTTATATTTCATTTCCAAAAATGCAAATTAATCGCGAAAACTGCAGCAACGGGGGGGCGAGAGCTGCTGCTGCTGCTGCACCACCTCCCGCTGGGCTGCTGCAGCAGCAGCAGCAGCAGCAGCAGCACTCACCCCCGGCTCCCCTCACTCCCAGCGTTTCCTCAAGAAAAAATAACACTGTTAATTCAAAATTAAATTTATTTTTCGAATTTTATTTTATTTCAATCTTTAAAGAAAAAAGAAACCCCAAATTTCACACGCTGCCGACGCTCGCGCCCGCCTTTCGCTCCCCGGCCCAGCTAGGGTTTAGGGTTTAGGGTTTAGGGTTTGGGCTGCAGCAGCAGCACCAAACCCCCACTCCCCTCCTTTAAACCCTAAAACAAATAGTGCGGAATGGGCGAATTTGCAAAAAGACAAGCGCTAAACTATTTCAAAACCAAACGCTCACGGCCAATCCAACAAACCCTAAACCCTAAACCCTAAACCCTAAACCCTAAACCCTAAACCCTCGACCGCAGGTCCACTGCTGTTCGTGCAGCGCTCGCAACCTCCAACACCCTCGCAGTCTGCCACTTCAGGCCTGTATGTCTCTCCGCACTCCACATTTCAGGGTTTAGGGTTTAGAGTTTAGGGTTTAGGGTTTGTATTTTACCCCTCGGGGTTTTGACTTCAGGGTTTAGGGTTTCTCTGCTGCAGCTAGCCAAAACCCTCGGGGCCCCCCACCTCTCTTGCAGCCATTCAAAACCTCCCGAGGGTTTAACAGAAACTCAGGGGGCCCCCAGGGTACTAAGCATTTATGCCTTAAAACAGCCTGGGGGGCCCCCCTTAGGGTACCCTAGGGATTCTTGGGGGCCCCCTAGGGGTCCCCTTGGGGGGCCCCTAGGCACTTTTAGGGTCCTCTGGGGCCCCCGGGGGGCCCCCAGGGGTCCCTGGGGGGCCCACAGGCCTGGGGGGCCCCAAGGGGCCCCCTTAGCAAAGCAGAGGCTGAAGCAGCATTTGGGAAGCAAATAAAAGCAGCAGCAAAAGGAGGTTCTAGAATTAATAAATAATTATTATTTAAAGATCTAAAGCTGCAGCGGAGAGGATTCAGCAGCAGCAGCAGCAACAGCAGCAGCAGCAACAGCAGCGGCAGCAGCAGCAGCAGCAGCAGCAGCTAGTATCACACACAAACGCCTTAGTAAACTACCTAGCAAAAGCCAACGCTGCTGCTGCACCTATCTTCCCAAGGACCTTCCCTAAACCCTAATTTGAGCTTCTAAACCCTAATCCCTAAACCCTAATTGCAGGACTGGTACGTTGAATGTGCTTCTAAACCCTAAACCCTATTTGCAAAACTGGCCGTGCAGAATGAGAAAGAAAGGAAACGAACAAACCGACAAATAAAAACTGAGACAAAAATAAATGTCGAAATTAATACTTATTTGTGAGGGTTCAGGGTTTAGGGTTTAGGGTCTAGGGTTTACGGCCAATGAAGTGGCGCTGCTTGCTGCTTCCCCCTTGCCGTGATACTAATCACCTTTGCCTCTAAAAGGCCCCACCCCAAACCCTAAACCCTAGACGCTAAACCCTAAACCCTAAATTGGGGGAACTAGAGGGGGTTTGTCAGCTGGCCCTTCTTTGATTTGTGTATGGATCTGTGCGCTTGGGATCCAAAACCCTAAACCCTTAACCCTAGATAGGCGAAACCCTAAACCCTAGATGGCCTAAACCCTAAACCCTAACCCCTAGATAGCCGCTACGCAGAGCGGACGCGGGCACCCAAGGACAATCAAATAAAAGCAGAAGTTTATTTCATTTCACTTTTAAATTTAATCCAAACTAAAACAAAACCCAACTCACAAACAAATGAACTTATAAACAGGGGCCCCCAAGGGCCCCCAGAGGCCCTAGGGGGCCCCCAGGGGCCCTTAGAAGCCCCGGGGGGCCCCCAGGGGCCCCCGGGGGCCGCTGGGGGGACCCCTGGCGTCGCCCGAGGGGCCCCAGAGGCCCTCTTTTGAAGCTTCTGCTTACACTGCGGTAACAAGGGGGCCCCCAAGAGGCCCCAAGGGGGCCCCCCAAGGAGGGCCCAATAAGGCTCCAAGGGGGCTCATGGGGGCCCCCCAAGGGGGCCCCAATGGGACCCCAAGGGGCCCCAGGGGGGCCCTTTTATAAGGGTCCCTTACTACGCTGTGGGGGCCCCCAATTAAGGGGCCCCCTAGGCCACCTTTAGGGGGCCCCTTTCTTGGCTGCCCCAGAGGGCCCCAAAATGACCTTGGGGAGCCCCCCAGTTGGGGGCCCATAAAAGGCCTTGGGGGGCCCCCCTTAGAGGCAGTTGGAGGCCCCTAAAAGACCTTGGGGTTCCCCTTTTATGGGTTGTTGGGGGCCCCTAAAAGACCTTGGGGGGCCCCCCTTAGAGGCAGCTGGGGGCCCCTACAAAAGCTTAGGGGCCCCCCTTTTCCATTAAGTTGGGGGCCCCTAAAAGACCTTGGGGGGCCCCCCTTTATTCTCAAGTGGGGGCCCCTAGAAGACCTTGGGGGGCCCCCCTTTGTAGGCAGTTGGGGGGCCCCCTGCTAGCCAAGCTTTGTGTAGGGTTTGGGGCATTTGGGCAACAAGCAAATCATTGTCTGTTCCTGGAAACACAAAAAAGGGTTTCGAAGTATATTTTTAAAAAAGAGATTTCTTTGGCATTTTGCAGCAGCAGACAAACCCTAGTCAGGCCCCTAAACCCTAAACCCTAAACCCTGGCTCCAGCAGCAGCAACGGGACATTCAAAAACTGGCACGCCACGGTTTAGGGTTTAGCAAGACGCAGCTGAGTGCGTGGGGCTTTAGGGTGTAGGGTTTAGAGGGACAGCTGGGGCTTCAGGGTTTGCCTGACACGCTAGGGTTTAGGGTTTAGCACTAAGCAGATGAGTGTGTGGGGGTTAGGGTTTAGAGGGACAGCTGGTGGTTTAGGGTTTACAAGAGGCCCTCCCTAGCACTAGAGATTTGTTCGGAGAGCGCATGAGGGCATTTTCAGGGTTTGCGGCGCCGCAAGGGTTTAGGGTTTAGGGTTTGGGCCTACCGTCTGCGTCTCTGCATGCATCGAGGCGCTCTGGGGCTACCCAGAAGGCCTGGGGACGCAAAGGGTCTCTTAAAAGAAAAGATAAAACTTGACAAGGCCTCACTCCTTCTTGAAAAAGATATTTAACTGACTCAGGAGACACAGCTGCAGCAGCAGCAGCTGCTGCTGCTGCTGCTGCTGCTGCTGGGGACGGCGGGCAGGGAGAGGGTCGCGGGCGCTTGGGAGGGCCGGTGGGAGAAGCTGCAGCAGCAGCTGCAGCGGCAGCAGCAGCAGCAGCAGCAGC